ACACACTCCACACGTCTGCGCCTGGGTGCAGGTGCGCCACACACACACGCTCCACACGTCTGCGCCTGGGCTGGAGAAGGCGCGGTGATCATGCTCCGGGCCTCAAAACAAGCCCTCGGCAATGTGGGGACATTTATGGCTATTAGCGTTAACTGTTTCAACCAGACGCCCAGCACAGAGCATCCGATCTCCACTTGAGAAGCCTCAATTAGGAAAACCAGGGCTTGCGTCTGTTGCCTTTCACATAAAGATGTGATGTTCCTGAACCCCCAGGTCATTTGGGTGGGTCCACAGCTCGAGGAGAGGTGCCCTGCTCCCCCACTTATAAAGCAGGATGGCTGCCTTCTCCACCACCACACACACGCACCCATACGCACACACACCTGTGTACACACACATGCAGTATAAGTCCATCTCTGCACAAACACGTAAAGGTCTCACTCACCAAGCCCCAAGGCTGTACATTCTTTCAGTGCACAGTACCGCTGTTTGATAATTCCCCTGGAGTAACAGTTACATATTTCACACACCCTTCTATAAATACACTGGATGTTCCCATGCCTCCAACCTCGCGAAACACACGCACGTTCACACGTGGACATGCACATACACACACACACACCATACGCCTGGCATCCTGCTTCCTACTGATTACATTCAGTAGGCCCCACACCTCATGAAGATGTTCATAGCTTCTAGCTCGCTCCCCACTGGGCCCAGGACAGGCCCCCCACCCCCCGCCCAGGGCAGGACACCCTCCCAGTGGCCCGAGCAACAGTTCTAGCCATGGCTGGCTCGCAAATACCCTCTGAGCCATTTATTTCTGAATCTTTTGGGGTCACAGCTCTCTCTGACCAAATAATGTGTGCACATACATGCCAGATTTTACATGCCTCATATCTCAGAGGGCAGAACCCTCTGAAACTCATCCCCCATGCTTCTCTAGCTCGTAGGTTCCCAGCCATCCTCTAAGCCCACGTCAAATGTCACCCACTCTGTGAGGTCCTCTCCCAGACAACTATCCCCTCTGCTCCCAGAGACCACCAGCTTGCTGCCCTGCGCCTCCAGGGCATGTCACGACCTCCCCTGTCGCAGCCCTGCCCACCCCCTCCTGCGGGTAGTCGTGCCTCCCTGGTCAGTGGTCTTGGTCCCCAGCACTGAACCTGGGGTGGCCTTGGAGGTCTGCGCATTTTAGAGACGTGCTTTCCAAAACCAGATTTTGTCTGTAGCTCTTAGAAGTGGCCCGTTACACGAGCTCGCCCCTTCAGCAAACACGGACCTCATTTCCTTTATAAATTTAAGGGCAAAGATTAATCGGAGGGTGAGCTGGATTTTCACATCTCCTTCCCAAAGGCTTCCCGAAGCTCTGCCCGCTAACGGCAGTATGTGTTGTTTTTCCCATCTCTCAGGCTCAGGGAAGAATACAAATATAGCACTGCTTAGAGAAAGAGAAGAGTCGTGATAATGGAGACGGACTGTAAGGTCTGAACGCAGATCAGACACTCGGTGGGAGCACTAGTCAGAAAATGGAAAGCACCCAAAGGAGAAGCTGTACTTTTCCTTCTGTACCCAGACAAAAGCCTTCAAGTTTAGCTAAGGGCTGAGCTACCAGGGTCCAAAAGGAGCCCCATCCTGGGCCACTCATAACTACAAACGGCGTGGTAACGGGGGGATGACGCACCGGTGTACAGAGAGCTAGTGACGCGTCCACTGCGGCAGAGATGCCGGGGACTCTCCACCTCTGCCTGGGGGCGCAGGTCCTCCAGGTGTGGTGAGACCGCACAGGTTGTCCCCTCTGGAGACCAGCACAGTCGAAACAGCCACATGGGCCCACACATGAGCATAACCCACACGCACACCTGGGCAAGCAGGGGTGGCAGCGGGCCACACACAGCACAGAGAGCAGCCCGTTAGCTCTTCAGTCGCAAAGGGCGACGTTTACCTTGGACATCTGGGTCGTTCACCATGTGCTCCTGCAAGCTATCGAGGACTCTCTGAATCTCGCTACTGGGCACACAGCTGTTATGCGCCATTTCGGAGCTGCAGCGGACGTCTTCCTGCTGCCCAGCCTTGCCCAGGAGCAGTTCCAAGTCCTTGCTTATGTCAGGGAGAGGGGTTCGCCAGTACAGGAAGTTACCGAATCCGTCCTGGGGACTGCCCGGGTGGGCTGAAGAGTCCGGTCCCGAGTGGCCGTTGGTGAGGCGGTCATCCACACCAGGGACCTTCGAGAAGGCGCTGGGCCCCGGGCACAGCCTGGCCAACCCGTCTCCCGCCACGGCAGAGCCTTCTGCGGGGTGTTGCGTTGGGCCAGCAGAGTGACCCACGTGCAGGGAGTGGCTGCTCTCCATGGACGTCCCTTCCAGCGGTACGTCTGGCTCTGTCTGCACAGGCTTTCTTGAACTAGGTTGAATTGGGAGAGGCAAACTTTGAGCACTGTGTAACCGACTGGGAATATCCTGGGAAAAGCTTGGGATCCACATCCTGGAAACCCGGGGCCTCCTCCTCCACCCAGCCACCCGACCCACCTGGCGTCTCCTAGTGCCAGCAGGAGACGGCCCCCTTTGCCCCTCAGGGGTACTGGGTGCACTAAAGCACCATGCGAAGGCTCAGCCGATCCCTCCACTATGCGGCCACCCAGGGGCAGCGTGAGCCCCGTCCTCCGCAGACGCACCCCCAGGTGCAAGACCTACTGCTCACCAGGACCTCCACCAGGGGGCAGGCATTAGGAAACAGAAGGTGCTGAACCGCCTACATGCGGGCTACTTGTCAGCTACCTGGGAAGCCTCCATGAAGGAAATGCTGCATGTGGGCCTGACACAGAGCCACAACTCAGTGCGTTCTGATGCGGGAAGGATGGACTCGTCTTAAAAAGGGTTTGTATCATCCGAGCTGTGAAACCACCCACTGCTACTCTCCTGCCTAAGAGTAACAATGGAGGGACGCCCAGTACAGTACCTCCAACGATGATACACACCCATCATCCTCAGAGGGAAGGGATGGAAACTCCAACATCAGACACCACAGAAAAACACAGAGTGGGACCTACTGAAGGCAGGTCAGGACTGTCACCGATACGTGCAAAGAATAGCCTACGTCACAGAAGTATGTCTGGGAGACTTGCCATCTTTCCCGATGTAAATTATCAAAAGAACTTGATTAATCAAAAAGTAAGAGAAAATTTTCTTTACAGGTTATTTAATCACTAGTCTCAATGAATATTTTATCTAAATTTAGGAGATGCAGTAGCTTCATTATTTATAAGCCAGTAGTCATGTCTCAAAATCATTATTGCAATTACTTTTTGCTTCTTTACATAATTAAAGCTCTAATATTCCATCTTGCCCAGAAGGTCACTGTTTCTAAAACGCAAGACGAGATAATTGCTAGAGTTTCAGGTGGACGCTTGAGGTGCAGCGGGGGTCCAGGTGCCGACCCTGGCGGGAGCTTACCGGGCTGACAAAGAGTTAGCACAGTTGCCTGGGTGGGGAGAACGGGAGTCTCGGTCCGGGGCTGGAGGTCGGATGCTCAGGGTCCCATCTTCTCGGATATACAGGCCAGCCCAGGAGGGGTTTGCAAAGGTGGAAATGAAGGGGCCCAGGGACTGGAAGGCAGCCTGGCGCACCTAAAACCAGAGGGAATGGCAGGTGAGCGCCGCGACGGCCCGAATGAGGCGTTGGAGCAGCTCTCCTACTTCCCGGGTCATCTCCCGGACTTGAACAGCAATAAGGGGGCGCTTGGCCCCGCTGTATGTTTCTGATGCTTCCAGAATATTAGTTCCCCATCCAGTAACACAGGCGTGATAAAGTGTTTGAACAGACCTTATTGACCATGACTACGTATGTCCATGAGAGTAACAGAAAAGGCAACAATTCACAATTGTGGTTCTTTCCTTCTGAATTCGAACTTTCATGATCCCCATGCACTAAAAATGTTAAGGTCCATGGCACTTTCTTAATATCCACGAAAGTGTTTGAGATTTTTAGGAGCCCTAATCCTATACCAGGAGCCCTGGTGGTGCAGTGGTTAAAGCGCTTGGCTCCTAACCGAAAGGCTGGTAGTTCAAACCCACCAGCCACTCTGCAGGAAAAAGATGTGGCAGTCTGCCTCCGTAAAAACTACAACCTTGGAAACTCTATGGGACAGTCTTCTCTGTCCTACAGGGTCACTATGAGTCAGAATCGACTCAACGGCAACGGGTCTGGTTTGGTTTAGATGTACATTAAACCAGAAGGACCCCTGGTGGCACAGTGGTTAAGGGCTCGGCTGCTAACCGAAAGGTCAGCAGTTTGAGCCCACCAGCCCCTCTTCAGGAAAAAGAGGTGGCAGTCTACTTCTGTAAAGATTACAGCCTTGGAAACCCTATGGGACAGTTCTACTCTGTGCTACAGGGTTGCTATGAGTCAGAATGGACTTGATGCCAACGGGGTTAATCCTACACCTGATGATGCCAATCTGTTACTGCAAGCACCAAGTCCATGGGCACACACGCAGAGGCCCAGGTGAGGCCTGTGAGCTAGCCGTGGACTCACAGGTACAATGCACAGAGCCGAGTGCTGACTTACCCATCGACAGGGATCACTGATGAGCCTGATAAAGAGCGGCGACAGCTTGGCCCTGCGGACCTCAGGCGACGTGGTACAGGACACAGCCATGAAGCACTCCGCACAGGCTTTTCGCATCCCCCAAACATTATCTGAGCAGAGCTCAAAAAACTTTGGGATCTACCAAAGCAAATAGAATAGTGCTACTCAAGATCAGAGCCACAACAGATGGATCCAGGTAGAACAGGAGAAAAACGTGGAGCAGAACTCAAATTCTTAAAAAATTCAGACTTACTGGACAGGTTGAGACTGAAGGGCTCTCCAAGACTATTGCCCTGAGATCCTCTTTAATCCCTGGGCCAAAACTATCCTGAGGTCACCTTTTAGCTAAGTAACAGATTGGCTCATGAAATAAAGAATATCACCTGTGGTACTACGCCCCTTTACAAAAGCATCTATATGAGACCGAACCATCAAAAATTATTTTAAAACAAAAATGAGAAGGTAAGGGGGCAGGGAAACTAGATTAAGGGAAACAAGAACAACCAGAATGGAAATGAGAATGTTCACACATTGTGAAGAATGTAACCAATGTCATTGAATAGTTTGTGCAGAAATTGTTGAATGGGAACCTAAACTGCTATGTAAACCTTCACCACAATAAAGTATTACTTAAAAAAAAATAATAATAATAATAATGCTACACAAAACTGGTTACCCTGAGCAAGGGCAGGGCCTATTCTAATGATGGAGTTCAGGCATATCCATAAATTAATGACAAAGAAGGGGAAATATATTGGTCTAAAAGGAATCATTTGAAACAAGTAGAAATCAAGGTAAGTCGAAGAGATAAACATTTCCTTTACTTCTTACTTTTAGTAAATAACTTGGTTAAACTTAATAGGATAATAGAGAAAAACCCAAAAAAAGGCAGAATGACTGATCACTATTATGTGAAGTGTAGAGAAAAACTTTAAAATTTAGTGTCCCCACCAGCTCCCCCATTCAGGGTATTGCTGTCTTTGACTAGAGGATTTCACAAGTCTGTAGTGACTGAAGGTAAGTGGTTATAAACTGGGAGTAACATAAACAATTCCTAGCTACAGAAATGCAAATTGTTTTCACCTGGTGAAACGGATGAGCACCCTGGGTATGGACCCGTTTTGAATCCATTTGTGAACCCATTTCAGTTTTCCTTGGTCTGACTAGAAATGTGTGGGACACTCACTTCTCCATTAAACCAGCTGTAATATCTTACTGGTTCTCTCATCAATAAATGAGTGAAATAAAGTCTTTGGCACGAGTCATTTTATATCTGTATGCAAGTCACGATTATATCCTCTTCTAAAATTTATTCTTTAATAAGAGTTTTGTTTTTAACATCCTAACAAAAAATAAGTAGAATAGAATGCTTCACACGTGGAAATAGTATGTGAGCATGAAAATGTCCGTCCACAGAGAGATCAGCATGTTGGCCCCTGCTGTTCTTCATTAACCAGAAGACAACACTCACCATATATTCGAAGCGACAGCCCGTTAAAAATTGTTATTGGGTTTGAACTAGCCTGACATGGCTTATGCTTAAAATAAAATGAGCTTCTGAACATAACCTTAAAAATTAACTTGAAGATTATACTTTCTGAGGTTAACTTCCAACCAACAAGCAGTGTATCCTCTCAAACAAAAGTTATAAATGTTTATGCAGCTCTCTAGGACTGGGCTAGACACTGGGGATGCAAAGATGAAAACAATGGGGTCCTGTCCTGAGGAAGACCTCAAGTTAGCAAGACTGTAACAAAATGTGATAAGGGACGTTCAAGTATTCGGACCAACACGCAATGGGAATGCTGAAGAGAGAGAATTTAATTCTCCCTGGCACAGCAGGCAGGAGAGTCTTGTCAAGAAAAAAACTTGGCAGAGGTATACTGAAGCTGGGTTTGAAGTGTGGGAGGGTCCCGCCAGGTAGGGGTCCATTGGGGGAGAGGGCAGGAATGAGCAGGGTTACTCCAGGGGGCTGAAAAGCTAGCTGGTGTGGCTAGAGAAATGGTTTGTCCAAATCATAAGGGACCTTATTACAAATACAGATGTCCAGGCCCTACCCTGACCTGCTGACTTAGAATCTATAAGAATGGGGTCCCAGCCCTACCCATAACTCAGATGCACAGCCAGAGGTGAGACCAGACCAGGTAGGGTTCAGAACTGAGGAAGGTGACTGGAGGTGAGGCAGGGAAGGGAGCTGAGAAGGAACCTGCGTTCCCACTAAGGGTCTGGATTTTAACCTACAGACTGAGGAAAAATCCCAAAGGTTTTCAAGCCCTGGAGTGAGGTGGTGGAGTGGTGTTCCAGAAAGCCCAGTTGAGAGGGGCTAGGGAGGGCAGCTTGACCCTGAAAAGAGACTCGTGGGGAGCGACCAGCGAGGGGCAGCAGCAAAGTCCACGGGGAGACCTTCCACTCCACAGACCAGCTGCCTAATGAAAAACGTGAACTTCAGGAGCCATGGAATTGGAATCGGACGAAGGCAAAATCAAGCTGGCATTCCAAAGCAACAGAATCATAAATGCAAAACTTTACTACTGATTTTGAAAGTGCGCTAATAGGTGAATCAGCAATTACAGTTGGCAAAACTTCACGTACCAAAAACTTCTCGGTGGCTTCTTGTCCAACGGCATGACAAATATCACCAAAATGGGTAGCACACACCTTAAAAAGGCAAAAGGCATACTCATTAGTCTCGGCTGTCTTTTTGTTTTAACAAATTGTGGAAACTAACGAGCAACTGCGTGACAGCGGTTACACCACTGACCAGCAGCCGGGCCGCTAACGAGCACTGGCCGTGCCATCGCCCACATGGCACGACGCCAGGTGCCTCTGGTGCATCAAAAACAGGAGATTTACAAGAGGGGAACCAGATTCCGGAGCCTTCTTGCTCCAAATTGATCTTGATACATAATGCATTTAGTTAGCAATAGGGCAAAAGAGACCTTAATGTTCTCTGGGCAGTAAACGAGATCAATCGTCTTGCCTCTGAATCATGATGAGACATCGTGGGGAGTCAGCCAGTTGAGCCGCAAGGAGCAAGGTGGAAGATGAGGCTGTGAAGGGAGAGACGGCCATGGCCTTCAAAGGAAGAACTCAACTCCGAGTGGCAAGTGACCAAAAGGGAAGCACTGGTGGGACTGCAAAGATAACAGAGGGCTCTGGGGCCAATCACCCTGCTAATGAGAGACTTCCAAGGTCAGGTGCTGAGGCAGCTAACAAGCCAGCAGTGGTCCCGTGACTCATGCAACAGGTTGACTCAGGCAGACTCTTCCCAACAGGTCTCTGTATTCCCCAGCACAGTGAAAACTGGCAACACTGTTCAGATATTTTCCTGACATAGTTTGCCCAGGCCACGTTGTTCCCTCCAGACTGGTTCTACTGAAGAAGTCCAGAAACTTTAGAGGAATTGATTTTTAATTTTTTTGTTTGTTTGTTTTAACTTAAGAGCTTTGAAGCTAGAGGGCTGTAGGGACCACAGTCTTGGGGAACATCTAGCTCAACTGGCATAACACAGTTTATAAAGAAAATGTTCTACATTCTACCTTGGTGAGTAGCATCTGGGGTCTTAAAAGCCTGTGAGTGACCATCTAAGATACTCCGCTGGTCTCACCCCTTCAGGAGCAAGGGAGAATGAAGAAAACAAGACACAAGGGAAAGATTAGTCCAAAGGACTAATGGACCACAACTACTATGACTTCCACCAGACTGAGTCCAGTACAACTAGATGGTGCCTGGATACCACCACTGACTGCTCTGACTGGGATCACAATAGAGCGTCCCAGACAGAACTGGAGAAAAATGTAGAACAAAATTCTAACTCACAAAAAAAGACCAGACTTACTGGCCTGACAGAGACTGAAGAAACCCCGAGAGTATGGCCCCCAGACACCCTTTGAGCTCAGTAATGAAGTCACTCCGGAGATTCACACTTCAGCCAAAGATTAGACAGGCCCATAAAACAAAATGAGACTAATGGGGCACAACAGCCCAGGGACAAGGACTAGAAGGCAGGAAGGGACAGGAAAGCCGGTAATAGGAAACCCCAGGTCGAGAAGGGAGAGTGTTGACATGCCGTGGGGTTGTTAACCAGTATCATAAAACAATATGTGTACTATTTAATGAGAAACTATTTGTTCTGTAAACCTTCATCTAAAGTACAATTGTAAAAAAAAAAAAAGAGTTTTGAAGCCGTATGTTCCAACCTTCCGAACTTGAAAGAGCTTCCCGTCACCACACAGTTCACAGAATCGGGGGAGAAGCAGGCGTACAACTGTGCTCTTGCTCAGCATTGAAGCCATTTTACAGATGATCTAAAATAATAAGAAAATGAGAATCATTTGAAAGTATATGAGTCTCAGGTAACACTAATAAGGTATACTCAAAAAGGAAACATTCAACATATTGTCAAAATATGCAAGAAGTACAAATACAGAACACCTTCTTTTAAGTTTTTTGTTAAGTTACATAATCAATGCAAGGCCAAACATTTTTCAGCTTTTACTCAGATAAGGGTTTTCGTGATGCTCAAGAGTCACTGCTTGCCAGGCACCCACCGTGGGCCCAGTACATAAAGGAACAATTGGCATGCATTAGCTGATTCTACCTTCCCAAGAACCTCACGACATGTGTATTATCTATCTTCATTTTTCCAGATGAGGAATCTCAGGCTCAAAGAGGTTGAGTAATGTGACCAAAAACAAATAGTGCTAAAGTGGGACATGCAGTAAGAGCAAAGAAGGGTGTACTGGACTACCCCTTAAACAAATACCAATTATACATGTTGGCAAAGTCTAAACAATGATTTGTGGGCACTAGAGAGGATTTGGAGCCCTGGTGGTGCAGTGGTTAAGAGCTGGGCTGCTAATCAAAAGGTTGGCAGTTCGAATCCACCAGCTGCTTCTTGGAAATCCTATGCGGCAGTTCTACTCTGTCCTATAGGGTTGCTATGAGTCAGAATAGACTCGACGGCACCTAACAATAATAAACCAAAAGAAGGTAGGAAAAAAGGAACAGAGGAACAAAAACAGATGAGACAAATGGAAAACAAACAGCAAAATGGCAGAAATAAATCCAAGCTTATCAACGATTACATGAAATATAAATGGACTAAACACGCAATTAAAAAGGCAGAAACTGTCAGTCTGGATATGAAAGCAAGACCCAACTATATGCTGACATAAGCAGAAACATTTTAAATGTAAGGAAATATAGGCTGAAAATAAAGGATGCAAACAAATACACTAAACAAACAATAAGCATTAAGAACACTGGAGTGGTTAATACTAAAGTAGACTAAGATATTTATGCTACTATGAGAGATAAGAAGATGTTTCTTAATCATAAAAGGGTCAATACATCATGTTATTCTTGTTGTTGTTATGTGTCATCGAGTTGTTTCCAACTCAGTGACCCTACATAAAACAGAACGAAACACTGCCCACTCCTGTTATGCTTGAGCCCACTGTTGCAGTCACTGTGTCAATCCATCTCACTGAGGGTCTTCCTCTTTTTTGCCAACCCTCTACTTTACCAAGCATGAGGTCCTTCTCCAGGGAGTGGTCCCTCCTGATAACATGTCCAAAGTACGTGAGATGAAGTCTTGTCATTCTTGCTTCTAAGGAGCATTCTGGCTGTGCTTCTTTCAAGATAGATTTGTTTGTTCTTTTGGCAGTCCATGGTATGTTCAATATTCTTCGCCAATACTATAATTCAAAGGCATCAATTCTTCTTCAGTCTTCCTTGTTCACTGCCCAGCTTTCACATGCATATAGGGCGACTGAAAATAACATGGCTTGGGGTCAGGGGTACCTGAGTCCTCAAAGTGACATCATTGCTTTTCAACACTTTAAAGAGGCCTCTGCAGCGATTTGCCCGATGCAATACATTGTTTGATTTCTTGACTGCTGCTTCCATGGGCACTGATTGTGGATCCAAGTAAAATGAAATCCTTGACTACTTCAGTATTTTCCCCGTTTATCATGATATTGCTTATTGGTCCAGTTGTGAGGAATTTTCTTTAAGTTGAGATGTAATCCATACTGAAGGCTGTGGTCTTTGATCTTCATCAGTAAGTGCTTCAAGTCCTCTTCACTTTCAGCAAGCAAGGTTGTGTCATCTGCATATTGCAGGTTGTTAGTGAGTCTTCCTCCAATCCTGATGCTGAGTTCCTCTTCATGTAGTCCAGCTTCTTCCAATTATTTGCTCAGCATACAAACTGAATAAGTACGGTGAAAGGATACAACCCTGACGCACACCTTTCCTGACTTTCAATCATGCAGTATCCCCTTGTTCTGTTCAAAAGACTGCCTCTTGGTCTGTGTACAGGCTCCTCATGAGCACAATTAAGCATTCTGGAATTCCTATTCTTCGCAATGTTATTCATAATTTGTTTTGAGCCACGTAGTCAAATGCCTTTCATAGTCAATAAAACACAGGTAAACATCTTCCTGGTATTCTCTGCTTTTAGCCAAGATAGATCTGACATCAGCAATGATATCCCTTGTTCCACATCCTCTTCTGAATCTAGCTTGAATTTCTGGCAGTTCCCTGTCGGTGTACTGCTGCAACCACTTTTAAATGATGTTCACCGAAATTTTCCTTGTGTGTGTTATTAATGATTACTACTCAATAATTACCCCATTCTCTTGGATCACCTTGCTTTCTGCTGAGGTGCAATCCATACTGAAGGCGGTAGTCTTTGATCTCTTCCAGTCCATTGGCAGGCTACTGTCCTCCAAATTTCTTGGCAGAGACAAGTGAGCACCTCCAGCACTGCATCCATTTGTTGAAACATCTCAACTGGTATTTCATCAATTCCTGGAGCATACATCATGAAGATATAAAAATTAAATTTGTAGCTTTAAACACTGTGATGCGTTGGGTCACTTTTGTGTGGCTTTCTCACCGTGGTCTTGTAATTCCCACCCAAGTGATTGGGTGGGGCTGTGCAAATAAGCTAATTGTAGCCCACCAAGGGGATTGGTCAGTTTTGCCATCTGCTAGGCGTAAAAGAAAGCCAGTTCTAGAGCAGGAGGAGGATCTCATCACCACCAAGGAAGAAAAGCCAGAAGTGGAGTGCGTCCTCTGGACCTGGGATCCCGGCGCTGAAACCCTCCTAGACCCAGGCGACAGAGAGCTCTAACACCAAAGATGGCAAGACAGGGTGCTGCTTGGCACCTAGTGGAGCTAGCTTCGCTGATCCATGGAGCTAGAGCTGAGCATTTTCAGGTCGAAGCGTACAGGCAGTGTAGGGTACCTCGGGGTACTTATTAGAAGAGCTAAAAGAGCTTTGTGACACTTGCCCGAGCAAGCAAAGCTGAGGGCCAGAAAGAGGCATGCCTGTGAGCATGGCTGAGAAGAGGCTGTCCTGATGGAAGAACTGTATCCTGAGCATTACTGAACCTGAACTGTAACCTATTACTTCCCCAATAGCCCATAATCATGAGTATTGTCTGTGAGTTCTGTGGGGCCATTGCAATGAATTACTGAACTCAGCAAAGAAGCAGAGTGCCATGGGAGGGACAGTTGGTGTCAGAATTGGTGAAGATGGCAGAGAGAAGAGGCATGTCTGATCTCCACCTCATAGGAATCAGCCTTGGGCTGTCAATCTTCATTCTCCTTCCCCCTTGTGAAGCTGAAGGTCAGATGTAGCCCTGCCATGCCATTTTTACAAACGCTTATGTGTTTAAAGACAAGAAAGCAGGCTTAAAATTACAAGTTTCCATCTTAAGAAGCTAGAAATATACAAGCAAATTGAACTCAAGTAAGTAGAAGGAAGGAAATAATAAAGAGTGCAAATCAATGAAAACGGAAACAAAATAAGAAAATCAACAAAGCAAAAAACTGGTTCTTTAAAAACATTAATAAAATTGACAAACCCCTAGCAAGACCGATCAAGAAAGAAAAAGAGAAAACACAAATTGCCAATATCATAAAAGAAAAGAGCTAACACTACAGATCCTATAAACATTAAAAGGATGATAAGGGAATATTACAAACAACTTTATCTCAATAAATTTGACAACTCAGATGAAATTGATAAATTCTCTAAAAAATATGACTTTACCAAAATGACATAGACAAAATAACAAATCTGAATAGCCCTATATCTGAATTAAATCTGTTATCAAAAACCATCTCACAGAGAAAATTCTAGGACCAGAGGTTTTACTGGTAAATTCTAACAAATATTAAGGGAAAAATAACAGCAATCTTAAAATCTTTCAGAAAATAGAACGGGAGGGAATACTTCCCAACTCATTTCTTGAGGCCAGTATAACCCTGATTCCAAAACCTGACAAAGACATAATAGAAAAGAAAATTGCCTACAATAGAGCTCTTGAATATAGATGTAAAAATTCTATACAAAATGTTAGCAAATAGTGGAGACAGGCACACTCCTCTGCACAGCAGAATGCCAGCTAGAATCATCAGGGGTTGCTAAAGCTAGCAGGTGGAAGTCTGATGAAGAAGAGCATGCTCACAGAGTCTCAGAATAACCCCTCCAGCAAAACCAAGGGGGAGAAATAGGAACGGCAGACGGGGGCCGAGCCATCCAAGTCAACATCCCCAAGTCTGGGACAACCTGAAGTCTTGTGATTCCTGACAAGATGCACTGAGAACACAGACCACTTGCGGGGTGTTCTTGCCAGAAAAACACAGCGTGAATTTAACCATGAGGAAATGTCAGACAAGCCCAAACTGGAAGACGTTCTACAAATGGACCGGACACGCAGACTGGCCTGGACTCTTCAAAAATGTTAATGTTCTGATTCAAAGAAAGAGTCAGGAAGTATTCCAGATAAAAGGAGACTGAAGAGACGTGACAACTGAATGCAATGCCTGATGCCAGACTGAATCCTGGACTGGGTGAAAAAACATTTGTCAGGAACGTTCTTGGGACAACTGACAACATTCGAATATGGGCTGTGGATGAGATACCAATATTGCATCCATATTAAATTTCCGGATTTCGATCACTGTTCTATGGCTGTGTAAGAGAGACTCTCCTTTAGGAAATACACACGGAAGTATTTAGGAATAAAGAATCACAATATCTCCAACTTACTCTCACATGGTTCAGGAAAAAATGTGTGTGTGCGCGCGTGTGTGTGTGTGTGTGTGTGTGTGTGTGTGTGTAGACAGACAGAAAGAATATGATAAAACAAATGGAACAAAATGGAAACTACTGGAGAAGTTGGGTAAACAGTTTACAAGAGTTCATTTTATTATTCTTGCAACTTACCTGTGAGTTTAAAATTAAAATAAAAAGTTACTAAAAAAAAAATTTATAAAGAATTCTTCCATTCCCTCACCTCCACCCAAAAAAAAAAAAAAGGGAAGGAAGGGAGGGAGAGAGAGGGAAGGAAGGAGGGAGGAAGAGATGGAAAGAGAGAGGAAGGGAGCGAGGGGCGGGAGGACAGAAGACAAGGCAGTTCTGGCCTTTGCTAAGGTCCGTGCCCTTGCCACTAAGCGGCACCACCTTTTCACAGCAGAAAAGGACCTGGGTTAACAACCTATCCACTATACTACTCGGAACTGCACACGAGCAGAAAAGAGAGGAAGAAAGCTGGGGGGTGGGGGGGGACGGTCCCCGTGGCAGAGACACGGAAAGGCTGTGTCTTCAGGACTGATGGGACCCCTCTTTCTGGTCCGATCCTCCGCAGAGGTGTGCGAAGTGACGGCCACAATGAACAGGGACGATGGGAGGCTTCCATAGCCAGGGTAACAGGCAACTAAAAAGTTCCCAGTGTTTCCACCTGCCACACCCACATGACCTTATTACTGCACAGTGTAAACCAAATCCAGAATCATCTGAAGTCTACACACCAAATGACAATCAATGACATCACGGCGGCCCTGGGAACCACTTGTATGGAATGACGATCTTCACTGAGTCCCTCCCAGTACATAACCCCAACGTTCTTCTTAAATACATGCACAATTAAAAATGAGCTTAAAAATAGGAATGATGGCAAAAAACAAGGAAGCCTTAACGGGAAAACGTGCTGGGAGAGAGAAACAGGCTTCTGGCAATGAGTTATAACCTCAGAATGCTAATGGCCTCCTTGCAGGTGAGGGGAGTTACAATTGGTCTCTGGTGGCTTGTTTATCCTGTCTGGGTATAATTACAAGATACAGCTCTCCCTGGTCCCACCGATTCAGTCATTCAACAACTAACATTTACTTAGGACTGACTCGGGGCCTGGCACTGTGCTGGGGGCCGATGATGCGAAGGCGATGTGGCCCCATGTGCAGGCAGGTCACCATCTTGAGGGAGAAATAAACAAAGGGACAGAACTTCACAACTCAGCTACTAAGTGAAAGAAGACAGGTCCTGAACCACGTCGCTGGCTCCACAAAGGAGGTAAATACACCCATCCACTCACATATGAAGCTAGCAGCTCTTCAAACCAGTTTGTTCTTGGTTCAAACCCCTGCTGAGAATTTGCATTTCTAACAAGTTCCCAGGAGGCGCTAATGCTGCTGGTTAGGGACCAATTCTGAGAACCACTAGTAGAGCAGCGGTTCTCAAAATTTATTATACATGAGAATCACCTGGGGATCTTGTTAAACTGTAGATTCTGATTCAGTATATCCGGGGGTGGAAATGCAAATTCTCAGCAGGGGTTAGGAACCACGTCCCCATACTCCAAAATGAAGCCAGGCTGCACAACTCTGTAAAATGCTTGGGGCCCATTGGGTGATTCTCCCAATCACATAGCCACTAGAGATGCTAGCATCAGAATCAACTGATTGTAACTTCTCCTGAGAGTGAAAAGTTGCATGAACAGACACACATGTTGCCCATGTGGGCATGCAGTTTCTTCTGGACTGAGAAGCAATTCCATCAAAGCGGCATGGGTTGGGTGTGTGAGTTTATGAACTTACAGATGCAGCAAAGTTCACACCACATGGCTGCAGAGAGAGCTGGACACAAGGGGCTCAGAGAGCAGCCCAACTGGCTTCTTTTCTCACCAACTACACTTCAAGTACTTACTGATGAAGACCAAAGACTACAGCCTTCACTATGGATTACACCTTAACAAAAAGAAAACAAAAGTCCTTACAACTGGATCAATAAACAACATCATATAAATGGAGAAAAGAGTGAAGTTGTCAAGGATTTCATTTTACTTGGATCCACAATCAACACCCATGGAAACAGCATTCAAGAAATCAAACGACATACTGCACTGTGCAAATCTGCTGCAAAAGACATCTTTAAAGTGTTATTCAAAAGCAAAAATCTCACTTTGAGGACTAAGGTGCACCTGCCCCCAAGCCATGGTATTTTCAATCGCCTCATATGCATTCGAAGGTAGGACAATGAATAAGGAAGACCGATGAAGAGTTGATGCCTTTGAATTATGGTGTTGGTGAAGAATATTGAATATACCATGAATTTCCAGAAGAACAAATAAGTCTGTCTTGGAAGAAGTACAGCCAGAATGCTCCTTAGAAGTGAGGATGGTGAGACTTCATCTTACGTACTTTGGACCTGTTATCAGCCGGGACCAGTCCCTGAATAAGGACATCACGTTTGGTAAAGCAGAGGGTCAGAGAAAAAGAGGAAGACCTTCAACAAGATGGACTGACACAGTGGCTGCAACAATGGGCTCAAACATAGCACCAAATGTGAGGATGGCGCAGGACGACGCCCTATTTCATTCTGTTGTGTATAGGGTTTGCTGTGAGTGGCAGGTGACTTGATGGCACCTAACAACAACACTTCAAGCCTACAGCTCCCTGGACCATCTGCTAACAAATACACGTGGATGCCTGTAATATCTGGGATATCGCTCACAGACCAGCTACATCAGAACCCTGTGCTCGGGGGAGTTCTATCAAGTACACATATGGCCTTCTTATCCTCAAATAAGGAAACCCACTCTCCACCTATAGTCCCAATTCCTTGCTGAAGAGAAGACAACTCCATCTGTATACAACAGCTCCCAAGTACCAAAGGAACATCCCCTGCAAGGCCCCTTGGCCTCTAGGCTCCCAGGGAGGGAGGAAGGCAGAACAGCTTCTGAGTCAGATCAGAGTATACATGGGCCAGACTAGACACCCCAAATACTGCTCCCATCACAGCCCCCTGGGGAGAGAAGCAGGGCACCTTCAAGGACACCCCAGGGAACACAGATGTGTGCAGGGGAGGGTCTCAAGACCGCTCTTGTTCTCTGCAGTCACAGCTGAAAGCTTATACATTCAAGTAACGATACCAGCAACTCACTTGGAATGAAAAATGCAATTTATGTGAACTAATTTGTTCTGCAAGCGATTTGTGAAGATAGCTTTTTGAAGGCTTGTTATATTTTCCAAATATTTCTACTAAAAAAAAAAAAAGAAGAAGAAGAAGAATAGGGCTGACAAGAATGGAGTGTTTGGAAACAAAATCAAATAAAAAAATCAAGCAAAGATGTCGTCAGCGTTATTTTTCACGGTATTATCAGTCTTCAGGGATAAGATATTTGGTTGTCAGTCGTAACCAACTTCCAAACAAAAAAGAGGATCCAGCTGGCAAAGTTCACTGATCAACTGCCAAAAACCCCTACTAAACGATATTATCCAGGTTCATTTTGCAAAATAAATTTAATCTCTTGTAGGGAAACTTGAAATTTATAAAAGAACCCTGGAGAATTTGAATTTTAATAATCAATTATTCTTCAACCTGATTCATCTTATAAGCATATGGAATATGCAAAAAATTAAATTAGTTTAAAAAGCCAGATCTTTAATGCACAGTTGAGGAAAACGTTTACATAAATGAAGAGTAATTGCCAAATGTTCTGATGCCATAATACAATTTTTTAGCCCCGTGGTGAGTAATGCCTCTGCACTTTGAAAAACATGCCTTTCTCTGACACTGGTCTTTTCCAACCAAGAAAACAACTCCCTTCCGTATCTTTTACTATACTCACAATTAAGGCTTACGGTTTTTAAACCCTTTAGGTAAGGAGTTTTCCTAACAAGTTAGAATCATCCTGGAACTTTTTACTCCTATAACGCAAACAGGAGGGCCGGGCTGGACAGCGTCATTTACACTCGGGTCAATGGAGGAGACACAGCTAAAGAAAGCCAGACGCCCCCTGATGACACAGCACCTTGCCTTGAGTCACAAAGACAAAGGCCAGAGAACTAGGGGTACATGAAACGTAGTACAGAAAATCCAGCACTGGCTCAACAAGGGTTCTAGAAGCAAGTACAAAGTCTGGTTGTACAATTCGTTTCACTTTGGACATGGAATCTTATAAACCCAAGGATACAATACTACTTATTCAGTGTAGAAGACATTTAGCATTTATACGACTCCTTGAATTGTACATCTTTGACTGATAGGAGCACAAATACTTTAACACGGTACTTCTCAACGGCTGTAAACATTTTTGCCCTGTCTGCATTCTTCAAAACTCTTCTTCGTGTTTGCTTATACACTTAAGTCTTGTCGGAATCTATAAAGTAGACAGATACTCATGTCTATTAAAAAATTTTTTAATTGTCCAACTGCCACCTAGAAGCATCTGACAAAGCATGCTGGGTCCCTTACCCTGGGAAACGAGGCCCACGGCCCAGCAGGCTGCAGCACACAGCTCAGCACCCCCCGCCCACAGAAGTCTAAGCCAGCTGCCTCTGCTGTCTGTGCCCACAGCGCTCTGCTTTCCCAAGCTCTGCCTCGTAAAACAACTGGCAATATGAAGACAATCATTTCCAAAGCACAGCCAGAGTCGAGCTGCGAGCTTTCTTTGCCCGAGGCCCATCACCGGCTACCTTGTTTAGGGAAACAGCGCTGACCAAAACCTAAAGCAGGAGAGTCATCTGCAGGAAAGTCTCACGAAGGTGTTGGGAGCCGGCCCCTGACAGACTCACGTTCACGGCTTCCGCCTTGTATTCATCGTCACTGTCGGGGGCAGAGAGATCAAGCAGGATCGGACACACTTTGTTCTCAATGTCGTGCTGGAAAATTAGATCCTGTTCCAGAAGAATCAGCAGCACCTCCTGACTGGACTTTCTAACCTAGAAGGGAAAACAAGGTAAAGGGTGAGGCAGAAAAAGAGCAGATCTACTCTCAGGAGCAAGACCAGACTCCCTGTTGACCTCCCCTTGTGGACTGCTTGTGACCCACACGGGTCTTCTCGCGGTTCCTCATACTTCCCTCCTGAGGCCTCTAACTAGGCTGCTCCTCGGCCCAGGACGCCCTCGTTCCTTCTGCCTCACTGACTCCTACCCGCTCTTCTGCTCTCAGGCGAAGCGTCCCTTCCTTCCCTGAACCCCTCACCTGTCAGGTCAGGTCCCCATTCTACACTCTAACAGCACCCTGCACATTCCCTTCACGGTTCTTATCCCAGACTTCTCCATGTGAACGTGTGTGTGCGTGTACATGTGTATGAAATGTGTGTGTGCATGTCTGTATGTGTACATATGTGTATGTATATGCATGTTCTTGGTTCTGTGTGACCACGTAATTGCCACTGCTCCCCCGCTGCAGAGCAAAGCCCAGAGGTGGTACCAGGTCTGACCTCCTCTCCAGCACACCCCCAGGCCCTGGCGGCATCGGGCACAAAACTCTGCCTCCAATTAGTGTCTGGAATGAATGGATGGCTTAGTGCCTTTCCCCTCCGTAGGCACAAGGATTGTAAAACACCGCATCCTTCCCTTCCCACTTGGGAAACCATGGCGCACCACACCTGAACGTGTGCTATCTCAGGTGTGACAGAGGGCCATGGGGCAGGGCCCCAAAAAAGAGCCACCAGAAGGATGGGCCACCCCAGAGATGAAGACTCCTCCGCCCAGAGAAGTCCGAGGCCGAGCAGCTCTTCCCCTCTGTGGTGTGCATGGTCACGTGCAGAGAGCAGTTCGCCCCCGGGCATGGGGGGAGAGCGGGGGAGGGTTGGGGGGGGAGCAGGAGGGGGAGGGGGCAGCAGGGGAGGGCGGGGGGAACGGGCGAGGGCAGGGGGCGGCTAAGAGCCTGAGGAGACATTCCGGGGGAGATGAAAGCATGTGAAATTCCAACCGATAGAGCAAGTAATGAAATACTTGAGTCACCCGCGCGCAATGGCAAGGCAGGGAAATACCAGTGGGACCCAGCAGCGTGGGGATGGAGCCACAGATGATGAGGTGGCAGCAGGTTATAAAAGACAGCAGGGGTCACGTCCCCAGTCTGTGAGACTGATGTCGGGGAGGCCAACTTATTAAAGCTCCTGCCCAGGTGACAGGATGAAAATGGCACTTTAGAAAGCTCGTCTGGCAGCGGTGCTCAGAGTAATTGGAGGCAATGCGAGAGCGACGCGGAAAGGCCAGCGAGGCAGCGCGCCCAACAATCCAGGTGGGAGGGATGAGGCCTGGCCTGGCTGACGCTGCAGAGAGGAGCTGGCACCCCGGCGATAGTACTCAGGCACAATGACAGGACTCACAGCCAGCGAGAAGGAGCGAAAGCCCGCGCTGACACAGGTGTCGAGCAGTGACAGACCACTCGGCTCGGGCGGGAGCTGAGAATACGCAAAGACACAGGCAAGAGAAGAAAAAGCGCCAGCCGCAATCACTGCGCCACACCATCCCAGGTGGTGCCGAGGCTGTGGAGGGCGGCAGGATGGACAGGACGCGCCAGGTGGGGCGGAAAAGGCCCTGAGCAGGGGCACGGGGCCACGTGTCAGCAGACAGGAGCTTGCCAAGTGTGGAGGGCTGAATTATGGCCCCCCAAAAAAGTACGTTCTCATTAAATCCCTGGAACCTATGAATGCTCCCTTAATTGGGAAAAGGGTCTTTCCAGATGTAATGAGGAGTCTTGCGATGAGATCATCCTGGATTATGCAGGTGGGCCCTACATCCAAGGATAAGTGTCCTTGTAAGAGACAAAGAGGAGGCAGCCATTAAAGAAGCTGAGGAAGGCATCAGCCAGCAGAAGCTGGAAGAGGCAAGGAAGGATCCTCCCCTAGAGCCTTCAGAGAGCATGATCCTGCCCACACCTTGATGTCAGCCTCCCAGCCTTCAGAACAGAGAATGTATTTCTCTTCAGGCAGTACTAAGAAACGGACACATCAATCAAGAAAAAGAGACAGGAAGGTCTTCCAGGCTCAGAGAACAGCATGTTCAAAGGGAGAGGCACGTCTGGGCCAGACACCCTGGAGAAGCATCGGGCATTCCAGAGGTCGGGACTGAGGCAGACAGGGCTGAGGGGACAGACACCCT